CGAGAACCTGATGGCGTTTAACACTGAAAAATGCAAGGTTCTCCACCTTGGGGAAAAAATAGCCATATGATCTTACTGTTACCCTCTTCCTTCCTGTTAATGTGTGTCATCTAAAGTTAGATTATACGCTCTTCAGAGCAGGATCTGCCTTCATCATTGTTCTGCAAAGTACCTACTGCACTTTTGAGTGATTATTGGAAAAGTTTAGTGTTGCAGCAAGGGAAACATCTGTCTGAAAATGGAGGAAACCAAAAAGATGATGACTTCATTTGATTCAGGGCATTAAGAACATGGCTGTCTAATGCAGGAATCAAGTGTCTCAAGAAAAGCCACATTTTGTATGAATTTTGTTTGTATCAGTGTCTCGCTTGGGTGGGGAGAGAGTTATTTTCATTCCACTTCATTTGTATCTTGTTTTGTTTTGTATACCATTATTTTAAAACTGAGTTTTGGTACTTTAACTTTTATTCTACAAAGAAAATAAGTTCCTTTTATAAATGTTAATAGCTTCACAGAGCTGTTGTTCAAGCCAAAAGAAAAAATTGCCACCTCTTTCAGTTATTTCGGTGCTATTAATTTGTTAGTTGGCAGGAGCCACTCTTTTCTTCTTGCAGTTATATATCATGAAAAGCGAAAGATTGAATAAATGTTTTAATTGAATAATATTTATGTAAAACTCCTGCAGAGATATCTTATGTCAAGTAATATAAGTAATGTAATCAATTAACTGAGTTTTACATTTCACTTTCTAAACCTGTATATATATATACTCTTAAGCATTATTTGATTAGACAACTTTCCAATTATAGCCATACATCTGACAAATAGATTTGTTAATGTAAGACTACCATTACCAAATCATAAATCAAAACGAAGCTAGGTTATTTCAAATATAGAGGCAGCTGCTTTTCCATTAAGATGACACAATCTTCAATTCCAGATACCCAAGAAGTTGCTAAAAATTGTTAGTTTCAGGGGATTGATTTTTCTTCGGTAATTACTATTGTGCATTGCTGGAAGGATGATCTGTTGGTCTTAATTTTAAAAGTGCTTAGAAATTTCATGCTTTTTAAGTAGTGTAATTTAAAATATAAAACAGCCTGGTTGTGAAGCAGTGGTCCTTAGAAATATTTTAAAAATATAACGGAAGTTAATAAATTATATTATTGTAATGGATATCCTTCTTTTCCTTAATTTGGAAAGCAGAAGAGAGACAGGTTACAAATCATTTGTTACTACTTGAGCTGCTAACACTCTTGCTAATGGAAAGCATCAAAAAAACTTATAAAGTGAACTAATAGATTTTTCCTCTGAAAGGTGTTTCCCCCTGCCCCTTTTAAATCAGTTTAGTCATGCAAAAATATGTGTATATGATGCACTAAACATTTCAAAATGATTTGTTCTAGATGCTAGGTATAAGATGGGTAGGTATTGTCATGTTATGCAACTTTACATACTTGGGTTAATTTTTTTTTATTGAGCACATTAACTGATACCGTGAAAATAAAGAACGCTCTAAATGTTTTATTTGTAACTTTTCCTTTATCTATTTGCTTGTATATTAGCAATTCATCTCTAAAGAGAAAATGGAGAATGTTAAGTAATTTCTTTTAGCAGTGATGACTCCTTCTCTCTTCCTATTTCCTAATAAATCCTACCCTTGCCTTAGAGAGTTCAGTAGTTTTCAGAGATTTTCCTAGTTTTTACATTTGCTTTTTCTTTTGATGTGTAGTCTTGAAAATAAAGGAAAACTAGCATCATATCCATAATAAAGATACCCTTTCCCTTGTGTTTCCTTGTGTTTCCCTTTCATTACGCTCTTCAGTTTCTTTGTACTTATAAATTAATGATCTTTATACATTATGCCATAGACACGGGTTCAACTGTGTATTCTGTGAAACACTGGGCTATCAAAAGGTAAGCAATCTGCAGTAGATACCCATGCTTGGCTCACAGAATTAATGCATTAGACTCAAAATTTGAATGATCTAGTTAGAGGTTTGTGGGACTCCGATTCTAGCTGGTGGTGCCATTTTGCATGTGCAAAAGTATGCAAGTCATGAACTGATTACTATCTGGTAGATATGCTTATATTTCTGTTCTCATTTCACATGACAGTTTCCTTGTTGCTTTTTGTTTGTTTTCCCCTAGTGCTTTCTCTATTGGAAGTGATTCTTTATCATGCAAATTATTAATTTTTAATTGTTTCCTTTGTCTTTTCAGAGTCACATGTTGGGCAGGATACAGCAAGAAACCTGTCCTATCATAATACATTTAGTATTTTCTGTAACT